AGAGGAAGTCGGCCCATGAAACCGCAGAACATGTAAAAACCCGAATAGGGTATATATGGCAATAAAAAAAAGTAAAAAAAATGTCCTCTACCTAGATTAACAAAAACATATATCCGACCATACACAGTTGTTGAGATATTTACCCTCTTCTGTTTTTTCATTAAAATCCTTGTACGCGCGCTAACGTGTCAAAAATCGAGATATCAACTTAAAATTTGGACAAAATCTTCCTCCTGTGATAACAAAGTTTCGTATTGAAGATGGAGCTCAATCGCACTAGTAGTTTTGGAGATATTCAACTTTTTCTGAAAATCTATTATGTTGAATATCTTTAAAACTTCGCAAACGATTCCACTTATTTTTCTTTCAAAATATTCGTCCTAATGTCCTCTACCTAGATCAATCAAAACATCTATACCTGTTCATACAAAGTGTTCGAGATATTCCCCTCTATCTGTTTTTTCATTAAAATCCTTGTTTTTCCAAATACTCGTCCGATGTCTTCTATCTAGGTCAATCAAAATATATGTACCCGTTTATACAAAGTTTCGGAGGTGAATTGAAAAAGGGAATTGCTATGGATCCATTCGGAAGCTTACTACGAATGGAATTGGTAGAAATAAAAAATTAAAATACAAATAGCACATAAAGTAACAGTCACATGCCTTTTGCAATATAGGAGCGGTCACCTGCTTGTTTTAATTTTCGAATTTTTTCAAAATTCAGTTGTAACAATAACTATAGAAAATATTCTAAATTCATTGAATGACAGCTTAAAAAATTTATTGGGATGTCCTTTTGACCGAGTTCGAAGATGAAAGCGATAGCAACAATCGTTATTTTGATTTCTGTGAAATTTTCCCAAAATTTTGTATTTTTCGAAAATCAGAATAAAACAGATATCTCTGGATATTGCGCTTCAAATAAATTCAATCATAGCTTAATATGTTTGTTTCAATGCGACTATGATGAAGTTAAAAGGTGGTTACAACAGCTGTCTCGGTTAACTTGATTTTTAGGATAATTTTTGGAAATTTCGAATTTTTCATGAATTCCCATGAAAGTCAACTTTCTAATGGTTCCCTTAAATGGGATGTTTCGAATGATATAAAGAGTTAAACGTGGTTCATGTAGACGACGAACTTGTTGAATACGGAGCTGATGGAGAAACGCATTTCAATAACTGGGTAATCGTTCAACGAAAATATAAATAGCGAAACGTGGATAAAAGATGTAACTCTTGAAATAAATACCACGTTGATGCGACAAGAATATCAGCCCACAAAGGAACAAAAGGGTAAGAGGAGTAATAGAAACGAATAAACGAAAAACAATCTGTTATATGTAAGAAAGGGATAATAAAAATAATAATAATAATGATGAAATTTCATTAAATGAAAAATCTAAAACAATTAGAATGAAATTAATTCAATTCAAGAAAATAAAATGGGCTATGAATAATATACAACGGAAAAAAATCAGCAAAAAGACCATTCGAAAGCATATTGCTAATTTATTAGTAAAAATAACTATACTATACGTAATACAGCAGCAACTTCCCACTCGTTTTAGTTTTTGAATATTTTCGAAAATCGGTTGGCTCACGATAACTAAAAAAATGTTCTAAATTGATTGAATGATGACTTGAAAAATTTGTTTGTGTTATGCCCGGAGAAAGATTTTAGCGTCGAAAGGACATGTTTTAATTGTCACATTAAAATCAAAGCTAAAATTATTAGATTTTATAATTATTGGACGACGCAAAGTTTTATACTCTTACCTTTTTCTAAAATATAAAGGAAAAGGGTTTGATTTAGGGATAGGGTTTGAGTTGAGACTAATTACTAATCAAGAAATTTGGAGTTGTAATGGGAATCAAATTTGAATTTAAATATATTTTGAATAACTATTCGGTTTACAAAAACATAAGCGTGATTTTACAGAAATCTATGTAGTTAAAATTCCTACCCCTGGAATGATCTGAAGGTTTCAAATTTGGGTCTACAAATTTTGTTACCCACAATTCGGTCTGTTATTTATAAATTAATCGATGTGTTTGTAGATCCCTGGGGAAATCCGTAATTTTCTCATCAGCAATTAGTCGTGCTAAAGGCTATTATGGATACTTTCACGGAATCACTTTCTTCTACTCGTTGATATTTTAATAAATTTTTGACAGTTGAATTTTAAGAGTTTAAGAGTTTGTTTGAGACTGTCCACAACGTATCACAATGAACGAATTCCTTATTTGTAAGAAAAGTCACCACTCTCGATTAAAGAAATTTTATTCCCGGATAATTTCAATTGTTCATAACTTACTATTAATTCAGTACTATCCCGCGTAATCGAAGAAAGGATTGAAAAACCGGACCGATTAAATGAACAATTTCCACCAGAATTATTACTGCTCCGTTGCTGCTTCAAGACTGACTAATTTTGATTTTTCTGACATTTTTATATGAATTTTGGCGTCACTTGTCACATGGGCTCCAACGAGTCTATTTTCAATTGGTGTTGTGTAGGCCACAAATCCTACAGTATGACTTTTCCCACTCTTTTGATTTTTATTGGGAAAGTAGTTCGTTCGGGTTTTGGGGTTTCGATTCATCGGTTTTCAATCGTTCCTCTGAGTGCGAATTTTCAAATTGTGTAATGGGGGCGTGCTGAATGAGATATTTCGTCATGTTGCACTCGATTTGAGTGTTTTTGGAATTTTTAATCGAGTTCAAATGACGAAATATCCCACTCAATTATTGAGTTTATTATTTTACATTGTGTCTATATTTTAATTTAATTTTAAATTCTCGCATCAAAAGTTTGGATATTACATTTAGATGTCCCATTGACCGAGTTCGAAGATAGAGAGTCTCTATTAGAGACGATAGCAACAATCGTTATTTTGATTTATTCGAAAACTTTCCAAAATTTTGTATTTTTTGAAAATCAGAATTCCGGGGATATCTTTGAATATGATGCTTTAAATGAATTCAATTATAACTAACAGNTACAAATTTTGTTACCCACAATTCGGTCTGTTATTTATAAATTAATCGATGTGTTTGTAGATCCCTGGGGAAATCCGTAATTTTCTCATCAGCAATTAGTCGTGCTAAAGGCTATTATGGATACTTTCACGGAATCACTTTCTTCTACTCGTTGATATTTTAATAAATTTTTGACAGTTGAATTTTAAGAGTTTAAGAGTTTGTTTGAGACTGTCCACAACGTGTCACAATGAACGAATTCCTTATTTGTAAGAAAAGTCACCACTCTCGATTAAAGAAATTTTATTCCCGGATAATTTCAATTGTTCATAACTTACTATTAATTCAGTACTATCCCGCGTAATCGAAGAAAGGATTGAAAAACCGGACCGATTAAATGAACAATTTCCACCAGAATTATTACTGCTCCGTTGCTGCTTCAAGACTGACTAATTTTGATTTTTCTGACATTTTTATATGAATTTTGGCGTCACTTGTCACATGGGCTCCAACGAGTCTATTTTCAATTGGTGTTGTGTAGGCCACAAATCCTACAGTATGACTTTTCCCACTCTTTTGATTTTTATTGGGAAAGTAGTTCGTTCGGGTTTTGGGGTTTCGATTCATCGGTTTTCAATCGTTCCTCTGAGTGCGAATTTTCAAATTGTGTAATGGGGGCGTGCTGAATGAGATATTTCGTCATGTTGCACTCGATTTGAGTGTTTTTGGAATTTTTAATCGAGTTCAAATGACGAAATATCCCACTCAATTATTGAGTTTATTATTTTACATTGTGTCTATATTTTAATTTAATTTTAAATTCTCGCATCAAAAGTTTGGATATTACATTTAGATGTCCCATTGACCGAGTTCGAAGATAGAGAGTCTCTATTAGAGACGATAGCAACAATCGTTATTTTGATTTATTCGAAAACTTTCCAAAATTTTGTATTTTTTGAAAATCAGAATTCCGGGGATATCTTTGAATATGATGCTTTAAATGAATTCAATTATAACTAACAGATGATTACGATAGCTATATTGGTTGATTTGATTTTTATGATGACTGTTGAAAATTTTGAATTTTTCATGAATTTCCCTGAAAGTGAGCTTTCTGACGTTTCTTCAAATGTGATGTTTCAAATTTATTCCAGTATGTGTAAATAAAATTTTTCTATCAATATTTTATTGATGGGCTGAGGGGAGAGATAGAACCGAAAAAAAGTCAATCGGATGTATAGAAGAAAGGGATAATAAGAATAATGATGATGATAACATTCAACTAAGTTGAAAATCTCCCAAAATTAGTTGAAAAAAAATCTTATTCAGTGTAATAAAATGAAGGATGATGTGCAAAATAACCATTCGAAAGTGTATTGCTAATTTACTGGCAAAAATAACTGTACTATATGCAATACAAGAGCATTTTCCCACTCGTTTTAAACATTCGTTGTTTATAAATAAATAATTGAAATTGGTTAAACTTTCGGAAACTTAATTGTGGATGTCATTAGTGATTTCAAAGCGCTTGAAATCTTCGACTTTCGACAATCAATTACTAATCAACAAGCAATATTTCTAATGTTTTATAAGTGAAAAATTAATCATTCAAGGCCGAAACTTGAGATTAATAAAAAATAACGCGCGCTCTCTATTGCACCATAGAAAATTCCAGGACTCTGGTAATTTCCTGAACTTTTCTAACATATCCCAACATTTTTTGAAAATAATGAAATGTGAGAAAAGTATGAGACCTCTTGGAAAATTCTCAATTGTTCTGTAAAATTTCTCAAAATCCACGGACTTTCTAAAAAATAATTCTAATAAATTCTCGCGTTTCCTAAGCTTTTCGAGCTAAATTATGTTTTCTTCAATCCATAGAACTTTTACAAAACAAAAAAATTGTTGAATGGAAGGAATATTCCGGATAAAGGTGGGGAAACAGTTAGTTGTGAATAAACTAATAATCTCATTGAGATAGATTCAAAGCCATTTTCGCAGGCATTATTGGGCCATCACGTGGGGTGTGGGGATTTACAGCAACTTCAGTAACCAAGTGACTCAGTCATGTTGTTCTTTGGTTGTCACAACATAAATGAGTACGAAAATTGCACAAATGGCGGGTTTGAAGTTGATAGAAGGGTATTCATCGAGTTCAGATGATGATGATGATGACGTCTCTCGTCCAGAGACTGTAGACAAGAAAATTAACTTGAACAGGTAAATTTTAACAATTGCTCATTATTTCGTAGGTTATGTCTACATGGATCATTGAGAAACTTTTTTTTTAGTTTGCCTTTACCAAAGTTTGCTCCAGTTGGAACAGGTGTGGAGCATTACGAGACAATTGTTGATAATCCAGAAGAACATGATGGACGAGTTAGATCGTTCAAACATGAACGAGGGAATTGGGCGACACTTGTTTATGCTGATTGTACGCATATTCTCTTGATTAATTCGCAGTCAATAATGGATTCTAAGAATTTCATCGATTAATTAGGAATTTAATGAGTTAACAAAAACATTAATTGAAAATTAATTAATTGATTGATTCTTCACTGATATTTTCAAAGCTTCATTCTAATTTTTAATTCTTGATATATTAAATAGTGATTTCTTGTGCGTAAAGTGAAACACGCGGAGCATGCGCAAAAGCCCACTTTCTACACATTGTGATGAAAAATCGGGTTCGACACTCATGGGAAAAGTTTTTGTGTTGTGAAATGAATTCAAAAAAGTGGGAAATTACTCTTGTATTGCATATAGTATCGTTATTTTTGCTAATAAATTAGCAATATACTTCGAAATGGGGATTTTGCGCATCATTCCCTTCTGTCACCTATAATTCATTGTTTCTTTCGTTTTATTAAATTGAATAACATTTATTTTCACCAAATTTTGTCAGATTTTCAACTTAGGCGAATGTTATCATCATTTCATTACTCTTATTATCCCTTTTCTTCTATACAATCGATTGTCTTTTTTACAGTTCTATCTCTCCGCATACTTGAATGAATTTGAAACATCACATTTGAAGAAACCATCAGAAAACTCACTTTCAGGGAAATTCATAAAAAATTCAAAATTTTCAACAATCATCAGAAAAATCAAATCAACCAATATCGCTACGTAATCATCTCTTAACTTCGACTTAATGGCATTAAAACAAACATTGTAAGCTATGATTGAATTCATTTGAAGGATGATATTCAAAGATATCCCTGGAATTCGAATTTTTGACAAATACAAAATTTTTGAAAAATTTCGAATAAATCAAAATAACGATTATTGATATCGCCTTCATCTTCAAACTCGGTCAAAGGGATATTCAAACAAATATTTTTAAGCCATCATTCAAGCAATTCAGAACATTTTTTTAGTTATCGTGGGACAACCGATTTTCGAACAAAATTCAAAAATTAAAAAAACTAATCGATGAATTAAATTTTAACTAATAGCGATCGATCGAGCTCAACAATACCTACATTTGAAAAAAAAAGATTCAATTCCATCCCTTCATTAGCGAATAATTGAAGTTTAAGAAGAAAAAAGCGAACAAGAAGAACTTAATTTTGAATGATTACAATGCTTCCATTCGGAAGCAAAAATGGCAAATTGAAATTTACTAAGATAGAAGTTGTTACATTTGAACATTATTCAAATTATGTTCCAAATGTTTCCGAAAGTCTTAGATTTGAATAGAAACATCAACAAACATTTTTAGAAATTTATAAAATTTCCTACAAATTCTCTCTTGCCAAGCACCTTCAAACTTCACCCTTGCGAAGATAAATGTAAAATAATGTGAAAAACCATTTTGAATTCATTTCCACTAATTTTTCGAATAACTTCTTCATCAATTGAATGCGTCTAAAATAAACAAAAAACATGTTCTCAAATAATTTTGTATGAACCAAAAAAATGGCAATTGGAAAATTACCCAGATAGACGAAATAGTCTCATTTGAACATTATTCAAAATATGTTTCAAATGTTTTCTAAATTTCTAGAGTTTATTTTATAGAATTTTTTCTCTATAAACTATCATTTCCTTAAATTTTTTTCACCATGAATAGTGTCTCAGCTTTCAGTAACGAAACATTTTTCTCTCAGTGCATGGAATAATGAACCTTTCATTTGAATTTCTCCAGACAAACCGAGTGAAGCTCTCCAGTCCTGGATGACATCAGTAAATACGATAATCCCTGCAGGTACCCTGATCCTCAATGACTCTCATCTGAGCTTCAGTCGCACATTGATCCTAAAATACCACTGGATCGAATCATTCGTAGAGAGTCTCCGAGACCTCACCAGATCAACCCCAAAATTCAACCTTCAAATAACAAACGTAAAAATCTACTGCAACGAGGGGAGAACCAGAACATTCCTCGGTCTCGAGTGTCAATGCCTCGATCAAACCGTCACACATTACATGACTTCATTGAATAAACTACTATCAGAATATCAGCTGCCTCCTTTCTACGAGGTATATCGAATTTATTCTACATTTTATTTTACAACATATACATCTCCTCACACTTTCAAAAGAGTTAGTAAACTTATTCCCTAAATCTTTTCCTTTCAGGACGCATCCTATCACATAAGTTTTTTGTGGCTCCTCGGAGACAAAGAAGAGGACCTAAAAAAACTAATTCCCACTCTCAACGAAAGCCTATTCGATATACTTTCAAAACATTTTGAAAATAGTTACATAAATATTGAACATATTCATTGTAAAGTAGGTAACAAATTGTACAAATGGCCACTGAGGTAACACTGAAAAAATAAAATTGAGAAAAAAAGAATAGAAAAAAAATTACGTGAATGGCCTTATAATAACAATGTTATGCAATTGTTTATACAAAGTAGTTTGATGACCCCATAGATCCCTCCACGTACGAGGGAATATAAATTGTCAACTCGAAGCTGGGAATTTTAATTCCTACAGCTCTTCGGCCACAAAAAAGAGGGCCTCCAAAAATAAGTTTCCACTTTGAACAAAAGTCTATCTGCTACACTTTCAAAAAAACTTGAAAATAGTTACATAAATATCGAAGTGATTCATTATAAAATGGGTAATAAATTACACAAATGACCAATGAAGTAACGATGAAAAAATCAAATTGCCAAAAAAAAAAGAATAGAAAAAAAAATCACGTGAATGGCCTTATGATAACAATATCATGCGGTTGTCTATAAAAAATAGCTTGATGACCCCACAGATCCCTCCACGCATTGCAAACTTCCTCAGAAAAGCTAGCCATCAGAGTGCAAACGGAGGGATTTTGAATCGTCAACCCGAAACTGGGAATCCTCGTGATCTTCTCACACCCAGTGACATTGATCAGCATCAGAGTAGGTCTCCTCCCAACTAAAGCCTCCAACGACACTTGAGTCACCTCAGGATTATCTCCCAGCACAAATTTCGATAAATTCGGGCACTTCTCCAGCACCTCCAGCACATCAGAATTCCTCAGATTACATCCACTAAGTTCCAGAGTATCCAGACTCATGAAAATCGACTTCAGTCCGCTCATCATGACCTCCAGAATTGAATTCCCTGGATTATACGTATTCGAGATACTCAAATTGACGATCTGCCTCTGGAGGAAGCACTCCACACTATCTCCTTGGATAAAATTCCCAGAAACATCAAGATTCACGAGACTTGAGCTGATTGTTGTTGCTGGGAACCTCTCCAACCGACAAGATCGTAAGTTGAGAGTCTGGAGGTACCTCAGAGGTGCAATCAATTCCCCAAGTTTCTCCTGGCTCTCTGGCCCCAGTGGATTGTAACTCAGATCCAGCACTCGTAGTTGAGAAGGTAAATGATCAATGGCCCCTAAAAATTGATGATCAATATCGCAGCCTTGTAGATGCAGCTCCTGAAGAGCTGTCAGCCTCCCCAGTGTCTCGTTGACACTCTCCCCTAGATTATACAAAATCCCTGAGGACAAGTGCAGCACCTGAAGACTCTTCTCATACTCCAGACTCCTCAAAATGGGCATCAATTCAAGATCCAAGCCCTCGTCACTCCTCAGTCTGAAGATTCCAGTATTTTTACACGACTTGAGTGACCTCAAAAGCTCGGGATCATCCACCTCGACCTTCATGGCTCTGCAAATCTTCTCGAAACGCTCGACAATTGATGGCACCTGGAGGTCCAGCACTCGTCCAGCAAGCCGGAGAACCCCTTCATTCTTATAAATAATATTAACGATGTTATCAGCTTGGAGAACATTACCAGAAGACGTCGTCAACTCGACTCTCCCTCGACACCCAGTCCTCTCCTCAAACTTTCCCACGACGTTATTCATCAAATTCGTAATTAAACTCTCGCTGTCATCCTGAATCCTCAATTTAGTCTTAATAATACTGTCATCCAACTCAACTTCAATTCTCACTGAATCCGACTGTCTCCCCTGGATATCAAGCCTCTGGCCCCTCATCTGCGAGCCAATCGGATCTGGATAATGAAACACTGGTGATGGAGTTCTGGAGTCCAAACTCCTGGTGAATCCAGCAGCCAACAACGATTTCTGCTTGGGTTTCGTCCTGTGAATTCGTGAGGAATTGGATGTACTAACATTGAAAATATCTGAATTTCCAGAGAGAACACTGTCTCGACTGTTCTCACTATCCCCCAAGACCTCCACCTCATCAGCATCATTGGTCCTTCTTCTCTTGGGGTTTTTATCCTCGTTTGGAGTCAAATTATTGGATTTTCGTTTGACAGAGCCTGGGGTCTCGTTGCTGGAGGTGCTCCTTCGTTTGGGGGTTGGCACCTCAAGGTCCTCTTCCAGCCAATTGTCTTCGTCAATCAGAGCTTCCTCACTATCGATCAAAGGAGCAACATTTCGTTTCGGACTCTTAGGTGTCATGATCCTCGATCTGTTTGATTTTAGACTCTCGATGGTTCTCCTGTAGTCCTCTCCAGCAGATATTCTTTTCTCTTCAGGTAGGTCTGGGGGGATCATCGGGGGGTCGTCAGCATTTCCATCTGGATCAATCAGAGGCTGGAGAGAGGAAGCCTTTGGGTTGGTCCCACCCTTTGGCGACGGCTTGGGCGTCCTAGGAATGATCAATTTCAACTTATTTCTGATGATCTGGTACTCAGCCTCGTCCTCAGGGCTCAGCACCCCCTCTTTTTTCCTCCAGCCCTCCAGGCAATCCAGCACAGTCTCCCCTTTAGCAGTCTTCAGTCTGGGGTCTGCTCCTTGTTCAATCAGGAAATTAATGACAACAGTATGGCCACATACAGCAGCATCGTGCAGTGGAGTAATCCCACCACACTGAGGACCCCCAGGATCATTGATATCAGCTCCATGCTTCAACAGTAGCTCAGCGATCTCAATGTACCCGTAGTTGGCTGCCTCGTGCAGAGGTGTCCAGCCACAGTAATCCCTGCAATTGACTGGGTGCCCCTGTTTCAGGAGCTCTTGAACCTTCTTCTTGTTCCCCTCGATGCAGGCGATCTGCAGGGGCATCTCTCCTTTGATATTCCTCTTGAACTCCACACGTTTGGGACGACTCTTCCTCACTGTTCTCTCCCCCTTCCTCTGCATCTCCTCCTCGACGTCTGACAGATCATCGATTTCGATTTTAATGTCGTTCAGAGAAGTCTCCAGGTCCTCTTCATCACTCGACTCATCACCGGGAATTTGCTCCTTCAGATCTGAAATTTGTTGTTTCAATTCCGAAGAGGTCTCCTTGTCCTCTTTAGATTCAGAGTAATCCAACATGCTCTTGAGGACCGATAATTTCAGGGACAAGTTCCCTGATTTTTCAGCATTGTTCAGAGCAGTGGTGAAGGCTTCATCGATCTGAGTGTCTGGGGAACTCGTCAGGACGAGTAACTCCCCGAGGTAGAGGGCGGATCTGCAGATCTCCTTGGGGTCCTTACAGAGTTCTAATTCTTTCTTAGCGTAAATGACAGCCTCGTCGTACTTCTCCAGGTCTTTCAACGTTTGGGCGAGGCTCACCAGGGCAGGAGCAAGCTTCTCCTCGATGTCACCGATCTCAACACAAGCCAGCATGTCCCTGTAATAGTCCAGAGCTTTCTCAAAAGCATTCCCAGCTGACGCAGCGTCACCCATGCTCTCGTAGATCTCCAGTCTCTTGCGATTGTTGTCCTCTGTCTTCAGTTTTACTTCGCTAGATTGGATTACTGCGACGATCTTCAGGAGTTTGGAGGCTGTCTCCAGGATCGATGGAGAGTTCTTGTGGTGGACGTACAATTGGACGAGAATTTTCCTGGCTTCACTCCACTTTCCCCATTTCACCAGGAGTTCTGCTTCGTGCAGGCGAGCTCTTTCTTTCAGAGTGAAGTCCTCGACCTTGGCTGCTTTCTGGTAGAACTCTTGGGCTGAGGAGTAATTTTTTAAACGTTCGTGGAGGGCCCCCAGGGAGACGTTGCTCCGGTGTAGGTCTTCATGGAGATTATTCTGTTCACAGAGACGTGCAGCTTTTTCAATCAGTTGGATTCCCTTGTCAGGTTGTTTCTTCGCTTCGAGGACGAGACCGAGGTTCAAGAGGAGTCTAGCTCGCATTGTCATCACCTCTTTCGTGTCGATTTGCGCTCCGGACTCTTCGAATTTGTCGCAGGTTTTCAGACTCGTTATGTAGGCGTTCTTGGCGGCATTCAGGGCGTCGCGTTTCTGCGCCCTGTCTTCAAGGAACTGACTTAGGCAGAACTGGGTACGACCCAGGGTGGCGTAAGCCCTCTGCTGCTCTATGAGGTCGTCGGCTTGGATTGCACCTACCAGGTAGAGGTTCTGGTAGATCAGAGCCTCTTCGAAGCGGTCCAAGCTTGTGAGGACCTCTCCGATCATTCGGTTACCGATGGCCACTTCCAGGGGGTCGTTCAGGATCTCACAGGCTTGGACTTGGTCCTTGTACTGCTCGAGGGCCTCTGGATAGTTGCCTGTTTGGAAGTATATGTCGCCGAGGTCTTTTGACACTTCTGCGACGATTTTGAAGTCTCCTTTCGTCTTTGCGCGACGCTTCTTCTGGAGTAATTCTGGAATTTTTGGAGAATTTTTTTGTTAACACTCCGTTAGTTACGAACGCCGTTGGTCACACCAGCATAAATCGACTTAATGATAAATTTGACAGATCTAGGACAAATCGGAAAAAATCAAAAGTGATCTAGGTCGTATACTTGAAGAAGTCCCGCGAGATTTTTTATGTTCAGTGTTACCCTTAATTATATATTCAAGCTCAAAGTTGCCATGTTTTTCTGAAAATTCGCCTTATACACGGTACACTAAGAGCAAAATCAACATAATATCACAAAAATCATTTCTTGAGCGAAAAAACATCGTATACATATTTAATCAATTTATGGTAGGTTTCAGGAAAGAAATCGGTGCTCTTTGGGCTAAGGAGGAAGTTACACGGAGAGAAATATTCAATGCAAATTACGTATCTTTTCCGTATTTCCGGAGTGAAATGTGGTTGCGGAGGAAATTTTACGCAGCTGTCAAGGAATTTTTCCAGAGCGTGTCATAATTTTTATCTAAATCTCCTGTGAAAAATTACGATACCGTCACTTAAATTTTCTGAGTCGATTCCGTAGTCGATTCGGTGAGTGAATTGTGAGTTCCTTAATTTTTACTGCACATTTCTCTCCGTGTACTGAATGAAAAGATGATGTCTTTTTTCGAAATGGAATAATATTCCTTCAAAGACAAGAATAGTTTTACAGAAGGAAAAGACGATATTGCTTTCCTTTGAACTCTACACGCTTAAGCGTAAATAACGGTTATATTTTTTTTAATATCTGGAGGTTTTCCTCTGCATAAACTCTCTATTCATTCAATATGAAAGTCTCTGATTTATGATTCACTAAATTGAAGCTTTTAATGTTTTTAGTCATTTTCTCATTTTCTGACACGAAACAAACGATTTCTTGTGGCAAGAAATTCTCACTTTATCATGAAATATTCATGTTCAAGTAATGAATACTTCACTGAAATCTAAAATTGTCTGACACATTATTCGGAGATCTTATCCCAATAAATTTATCCTCAAGAGATGAGATATTTGGCGCGAGAAATTAGTTTTGTGATATTATGACGATATTTCTCTCAGTGTACACACAAAACACGGCCCGTTGTTTCGGAATAAAAATCGGAAAATATAACTACTTATGATATTTTTGGCGGCTATTTTCATTGATAGGGCTTCTAGACACTTCAAAATGAGATGTCAATTTTTTTTCAAATTTTTCTGTGGCTGCAGTGTAATTTAAAAAATCGGAAAAAGTGCGGAACGGCGGTCATAGCGCGACCAAAGGAGTGTCAATGGGATTCTTTGCCGAGAATAGTCAAGGGAAACAACTGCGTGCTACGTAATAGATTTCCCAAAAATTGAGCAGTATGTAAAAACAGAAAAAAATCCGGCCGTTTGTTCACAACACAGATTTTTGAAAATTTGAGTCTCGGTTATGAGTGCCAGGCAAATTAATAGAGTTAAGGATATCCAAGTATTTTTTACAGTTTGGAACAGACCATAGTATAGATTAAGCCTCTTTGAATCATCAAATTTGTCAATTAAATTGCGTGAAATTTTTTTTAAAAAGATCATGAATATTCAGAGTCATTGAAACTACATTTTTCACAGAATCATAACTTTTTTTAACATTCGTTGTCTATAAATAAAACATTGAAATTTTTTAAACTTTCGGAAAACTTATTTTGCTGTCGAAGTTTTGTATTTGACAGATTTTTGAATTTTCTAATTTTGATTGTAAATGGCCTATGCGTTTCGCCATTAGCTGGTCTACCATTAAGACAGTTGATACAATAGTCTCAATTAAAAATTGGTCCGCGATATCCGCAGTTTGCTTGGTAAGCAAATAAGAAATCAGTACCTAAATCAGTACTCAATTTACTGACTTTTTACCGATTCAGAAATTCCTCCATATATTTGATAATAACAAAATAATAACAAGTTTTGGATTATCATTGGCTGACAATCATCTCATGAACTAGTATCTGGTGAACATTATTAATAAAGCTTTGAGTAAATCCTAAGAAGAATAACTTCATAACAGTCGACTTGAAGAAAACATATTGCGCATTGTAAATCCTAATAGACTCTGATCATCTCAGTATTAGACAATTAATATCGACTTGCCCAATAACTCCTAATTGGGCTACACGCACGAAAAAGAGAAAAATTTCAACAGAAATGCGAAATCTATTGACTTTTTCTCATCGAATATCTAATAGAATCAACGCAACAAACAAATCAAATTTTTCAATAGAACTCCTATAGAATTCCAATAGAATTTTCTAGCGAATTCGCTAGGTTTTCTATTGAATTTTTTGAATCCCGGAAAAAATAGACCATGGAAAAAAGAGACCAAGGGAAATTTTTAAGTTGGGTGGGTTTTAACACGTTTTGGGGGTGTGGGCTATTTTTTCCTGGTCTATTTTTTCCACCTACCGCATTTTTTCATACGTGTACATTCCACTGTCATTGATTAATATGAATCCAGTAGGATTTGACTCATTGAGTCGTTAATGTTTTTTTTTCTATAGAAATTACAATTCTTTCCTACTGTGATGAACCTATAGTGAGCTCAATTGATAAATTTGTTCGTTAGTTGGTCTACCATTAAGACACTTGATAAAAAAGTCTTAATCAAAAATTGTTCCACAATATGAAACAAACAAGAAGTCGGTACCTAAATCAATACTCAATTTACTGACTTCCCGTCAATTCAGAAATTCCCCCATATAGTTGATAATAACAGAATAATAACAAGTTTTGGATTGTCATTGGTTGACAATTATGAACTAGTATCTGGTGAACGTTATTGATAAAAGTTTGAAAGGACACTTAGCAGAATAACTTCATAACGATTGGCTTGAAGAAAAAAATTGTGCCTTGGACAATTAAACATTATTGAAAGTATTGTCTTCAGAAATACTAATAATCTCTAATCATCTTTGTAATTAACAAATTAATAGCGATTTACTCAATAATTGTGTGACATTCTAATGCCATTGATTAATATTAATTCAGTAGGATTTGGCTCATAGAGTCGTTAATGTATGTTTTTCTATAGAAATTACAATTCTCTCCCTTTATGATGAAGCTATGCTAAGCTCAATTGATAAATTTCTCTATTACCTGGTCTACCATTAAAATACTTGATACACTCAATCGAAAATTAGTCCACGATATTAAACAAATAAGAAGGCAATACCTAAATCAATACTCAATTTACTGACTTCTTGTCAATTCAAATAGTAACAAAATAATGACAAGTTTTGGATTATCATTTGCTGACAATGATCTCATCAACTACTATCTGGTGAACATTATCGATAAAGCCGTGAGTAGATCCTGAGAAGAATAACTCCGTAACAACTGATTTGAAGAAAAAATTGCACATTGTACGATCAAACATTATTGAAAGCATTGGTCCAGAAATTCTAATAGAATCTGATCATCTTAGCAATTAACAATTAATATCGACTTGTTGAATAACTCTTAATTGTATTACATTCCGATGCCATTGATTAATATTAATCCAGTAGGATTTGACATTTGTCACAAAAAAAATTCTTTCCAAAAAACTGCAGAAATTTAGAGAAAATCGATTTTTTGTCATTCCGGCCGTGAGGCAGCGCTTCACGGACGCTCCGCTCCGCTCCGCGTCCGTGAATCTCTGCCTACGGCCGTCATAACAAAAAATACTGTTCGTCATATGGCCAAAAAAAACTTTTCTAGCTCATATGATTGCAGCCCTCGTCTTCGGCTCGGGCTGCAAACTCATATTCGCCAGAAAAGTTTCTTTCGGCCTAGTGACGAAATATACTATTTTGAGGGATTGTGGCCTTTGAATAACTTCAATGAATTGGCCAAGACATTTGTCAGATCAATTACCATCTCTCAGACTTACTCGCAGTGTCCATGTTGAATAAATGCTGTTAAATAATTGATGATGCAGAAAAACTCATAAATTAATTCACTTGACGATCTGTTTGGAATGATTTTACGTGGTTAACCTCTGAACAATCACAGACATTCACGTACGAGGACTTTTGCCGCCCCAACATCGCTCACTCCGGGGATTGCCGATCTTCAACGAAGGAATATTGCCCCCTAATGGTGAGTTCTCAAAGCTCCGAACGGCGGAGCAAAGAGTGCCTCCTCGTAGGGCTCCAATGAGAATTTATTGAGTATCGATTCATTTGTAAAAAATAAATATTCGTTCATTCTATTGTTGCAAATCATGGCTATGATTTCAAAGACTGCCATGGGCATTGCCGTTGGCATCGCGGGCATTGTCGTCGGCTACTGCTTCTACTTCGATCAAAAACGTCGGAGCGATCCCGACTTCAAAAAGAAACTACGCGAACGTGAGTGAATTTTTCATTTCCACATTTCGCTATTTTTGTACAATTGCTTTTTGCATTCTGGGGGTTTTGTGAGGGGAAGAGGAGGCTGTGTTATTCTCGTCAGGAATTTGAGTTATTGTCATTGGGTTTTTTTTTCTCGATTGGGAGTATTTGAAGATGCGGTTGCTTGTTGGGTTAGGCTGATGGGAAACCATGAGGTTTTTATGTAATTTTTATTTGTCACTGCTCAGGGAGGAAAGCGAGGAGGCAAGCCAAGAAGACTGGATCACAAATCCCTGATCTCAAGGACCCTGAAGTTGTACAGAGGTTCTTCCTCCAAGAGGTAATTATTCTGGGGGAGATTACTTATTACACTAAAAAAATTATTTTTGCTGAATATCCATTTACTTGAGAAAAGGATTTATTTTTCCAATAGAGTCTTTCTCCAGTCGAGTTATTTCCAAGCAATCCTCATTAGGTTTGAATTATGACAATTATATTGCTCTAGAAGATGAGTATGTTAGTTATGACCTTGAGTGAATTCCCTCAATAATTATCAACATTAAAAAATTAATCGAAATTCTTATTTTCCCTCTAGAAAATAAGAAATTTAGGAAAAATGAATAATTAGGGGAGGTTGGGGTAAAACGGACACTTTTGACTTTTTTTAAATGTTAATGTTAATTTTTTTCCAATACAAAGAACTATTCTTTCCCTTTATGACGAGCCTAAACTGAGCTCAATTGATCAATTTATTTCTGAGTTATGAATAATTTTAAAAAAGTCTAAAGTGTCCGTTTTACCCCACCCTCCCCTATTGAAGGAGTTAATTCAAGGTCATGTGCAACATAGACATCCTTTAGAGCAACATGTTTGTCATTATTAACACTTAATCAGGCTCGCTTGGGGATCATTCGATTGGAGAAATACAATTTCAAAATAATAAATGCTTCTCTCAAGTAAATAAGTATTTGGAAAAAATAATTTTTTCGCAGAGGATAATATGGAAAACAATTCAGGAAAGGAGTCACACACCGAGAGAAAAACGAACAAGTTCTCATACAAGTCTTGCTTAGACCAAAAAAATCTCGGGTTGGAAATTACAGAAAAAAATGGTCTTATTCGAATTTAAAAATCTCAAACATGAATAATTTCTCTGCTTTCAACAATGACGAAATACTTGGCCCAAGATGCGGATGATTTACACGAGACGGTGTCTTTCCAGGATTAAAATATCTCTTATAGAGAGAAGTTTATGAAGAAATAGTTTGTTCCTAAGTTACCAGATTGTTAGCATATCTTTATTATTAATTCATTCAAGGATTCATTGTTTGTCTGTGATTATTGAATAGCCGAAATGAAAACGACTATTTCTTGTTTAGCATAAAACGAACATTTTTCGGGCGCAAAATACGTATGGGAGTATCAAATAACGAAGAAGTAGTGCTAGAAATGACATTTCTTTCCTGTACAGAGAATAAATTTTTTTCGGAACTACTGAATCCATTTTACGACAAAAAATTTCTGTTAAATTTTGATAATAGAAAAAGAAAACTTTTTTTGGCACAAGTAAGACTTGTTTGAAAACTCTGTTGTACTTCTCTCATTGCACACAGAGATAAAAACGAACAAGTTTTGGTTGGGCGAAAAAAATCGCTAGTTGGAAATTACAAAAAAAGAAATTATTCAATTCGAATTTCAGTCTCAAACATGAAGAATTTCTCTGCTTTCAACAATTACAAAATATTTGGCTCAAGAGGCTGATGATTTACACGAGACAGTGTCGTTCCAGGATGAAAATATCTCATCTAGACGAAACTTTATCAAGAAATATTTTGTCCCTAAGTTACAAGATCGCTATCATATAATTATTATTTCATTTAAGGATTCATTTGTTGTCTGTGATTATTGAATAGCCGAAATGAAAAATTGTCTTCCTTTTTTTCGCGTAAAACGAAGGCAATGGTTCACGAATTTTTCTTCTCCGACATTCCCTCCCTCCGCCCGCAAATCTTCCTTGTACCATTCCTTGCTCGCACATTGCTTCCCTAAAAGCCCATGGTAACACTAATTTCTTCCCCTTCTATTTCTTTCTAATTCCCTCAATCAATGTCGTTTACATAAAAAAAAAACATTTAATTTCTCTCTATATTATAAAAATCGACTGTTGGTGACAAAAATTTGCTACTCGAAATTAAGAGTCACACGGGTCACAAAGATGAGATTAAGGGTCACAAGGGTCAAAATAAGGATTATGGGAGTTATATGGGTCATATGGGGGTTGGCGAGCGGAGCGACCAGGGGGCGTAGCCCGCTAGTTCAACTCTAAAAAAGGGAAATTTCGTGAAATAATTCATTTGATTCAAGTAATCGATTAACAACTAATTGCTTATTTGATTTAACAGTTATTATTGCCTTCATCAATAACATATGCGGATAGAAAAATTCAATAAGTTGAATGAGAATGCAATAAATTAAGTAATTTAGAATTTTTTCCAGAAATCCATAGGATCTAACTTTTGGGTGGTACTATCTCGGGATATACCTTAAGCCACCTTGTTTCTCTGTAAAGAGCATCGGAAATGAATCTAATTTGCCTTTTTCTAATGTCTTATCCACACACACATCATGATTAAAGGAAATTAAATATTCAATTCTCTTTTTTCTTTATAAATAAAATTAATGAAGGGACATGAAATGTGGGAAAAAATGTGTGAGGAAAACTTGGGGGGCGGGGGGAATGTCCGGAAAATTTTGTCGAGGAAAAAAAGACGGACCACCAATGGAGCTTACCCTCGAAGTAGGAACTAGATTCCCATTATTCATCGCAGTAAGGGAATTATTATTCAAAATTCAAATTCTTACACTATTGATACCAAAATTGTAAATGGTGTGAGGATTTGGGTTTCGCTAAAAAAAATTCATTGCCTCTCACCAATTTTCATCTAACAAATACCCAAAAAAATGCACCATTCACACTAATCATGACATTATCCTTCAAACAGGTGCAACTTGGTGAAGAAATGTTGACTTGTGGTGACGTAGAGGGTGGAATCGAGCATTTGGCAAACGCCGTAGCTGTTTGTGGTCAGCCGCAGGAGCTGCTGCGTGTCCTCCAGAAAACAGTACCACCACAAGTATTCCACCTCCTTTTGCAGAGATTACCCGCCGTTGGACAGGTAATCATAACGAAATAAAGCCTTTAACTCCCCAAATCCCTTAAAAATAAATCTGACACCATCATCAAATGTTACAGAAACTCGCGTCACAAACCACAATGGCTGAGGAGGATGTGGAATAAATTGTCAAATTGGTCATTTCTACATAATAAAAAAATTGTTAGAAAACAAAAAAAACAGAATGATATTGCAAAGACAAACCACTAGTTGACCCAGAGATCGCTTAATCCAAAACTAATCGAACAGAAAAAAAAATCCCTCAAGTGTATAATCGTGGATATATACTCTAAGTATTAAGTTATCCAAAGGCACAAATTAAACCCAAATATCCTCTCTCTTTATTATCCCAGAATGGACTCGCAGAGTATTTTCATTGAAAAATCTGCTCGTCTTTACAATATAATATATTTTCTAAATACAACAACTATTCATCAATTACCCTCTCCTCATTTACTGTACAATCGAGCGTTTCATTATTTATCTCAACAATAATACGACGAATTCGATGTGATAAAACGTTCTTTAAAATTCAATTAATAATTTATAAGATTACGTCGACAAAATATCTCAATAAAGATTCAACAAAAAACAAAAAAAGTATTTGTACAGAATCAAAAATAAAGACAGGTAGTCTCAACGGTGGAAATGATTAAATTTTATACAATGATTACAGAGAGCACTCTTGGACTTGCGCTTGCATCAATTAGTGAAGCATGAACTCAGTGGTCAAGTGGTGAATCGAGATAAAATGATTCATCATTTTGTTTTACCACTTTGCCACTGGTCGGTAGGCAGTGGGGATATCTCTTCTGGTTCTATTCTTTTTCTGGCGTGCACCTTTAACTCGTACTTAAAACTTCTTCTCGGGCCTTTGACATCACTTCCAATGCATTTTTGTTGATCAAACTCTCGGCTAATTCCTTTCCAAGTTGCTCAGCACCAAGCAGACCCATACTGCTTACTTTACCGGGGGCTATGCTGCAGTAAAGGCGTGGCTCACGATAGGGACATTTTCTAGAACATAACAAATAAAATGTTTCATAATTCATGGAATTTTCTTAGACTAAAACAAGCGTTATGAAAAAAGTTGTTATGGAGATTCTGTTTTCTGTCTCTCAGCCCCAGATATTATTTAAAAAATGGGTGTTTCACTGACTTAAGAGGGGACCCAGGTGAAACTTGAAAGACTTAGATTAATGAAAATAACTATCGAGCGATTTAATATATCTCGTGGTACCTAAAAACCTCAGAAAAATTTCGTACCCAAGCCATTTTACTCCATATGTCAGGCGAAAACTTTTTTCGTGTTTTTGGCTTTGAAATGTTCCTCGCACTATAATTTTCATCCGATTCAAACTTTTTTTTTCAAAATGTTCGTTCGATACCATAGAATAAAACCAGGTATTTTTTCGATTATGTCAATTAGATCATAGAATAGTATATTTCGATACGAGTGCGACGGAATTTTCATGAGGTGAAGCCGAGGGCTGTCAATCACACGAATTGAAAATTTCCGTTTCACATATGTCGAACACTATTTTTTGACAGTGATGCTAACGACAGAGTTCTCAAACAAGTCTTACTTGTGCCAAGAAGATAGTTTTTTGAAAATTATCAAAAAAGGATTTTCTTGTGCCAAACATGCCGAGATGAAAAATTTTTGTCGCAAAAATAGATTTAATAGTTCAACAAAAATTGCATGCGTACATGCAAGAAATGTCATTTCCAGCACTACTCCTTCGTTATTCGATACTCCCATACGTATTTTGCTCCCGAAGAAATGTTTTTTTTATGCTAAACAAGGGATAGTAGTTTTTCGTTTCGACTACCTAATAATCACAGACAAGAAATGAACCCTCAAATGAAACAATGATAGCGATATGATAGCAATCTTGTAACTTAGAGACAAAATATTTCTTGATAAATTTTCCTCTATATGAGATATTTTCATCCTGAAAAGGCACCGTCTCGTGTGAATTATCCGCCTCTTGAGCCGAATATTTCGTTGTTGTCGAAAACAGCAACAGAGTGGGAGGAAAGTAGGCACTTTCCGTGCAGGGATGTGAAAAAATTCTTTTTTGGCAATTTTCAACTAGCGATTTTGTTGACTCAAACAAGACTTGTTTGAGAACGTGTTTGTTTTTCTCTCAGTGTGAACTTTTTCTCTCAGTTTGAACGTTTTTCTTTCAGTGTGAAATTTTTTTTCTTCTGGTTTACTCGTTTTTTTACTTTCTTCATGCCGTATACAAATTATTATTCCGAATAGTTGAACATTAAAATAGTACACAACAGGGGTTCAGAATAATTATTTTTATACGGTATGGAAAAAGGAAAAAAAACCGACAAAAATTTCCTTTTCCATGACCTAATCGAAAAAACATAGTTTTAATCTACGGAATTTAAAGAATATTTTGAAAAAAAAAGTTCAACTTGGATGAAAATTGTGGTGCGAGGAGCCTTTCAAAACCAAAAATACGAAAAACTACGTTTTCGTCTGACGTCCGGGGTAAAACGAGTTGGCTATGATATTTTTCCTAGTCTTTTAGGCATCCCATCATATATTAAAAGTCACTCGATAACTATTTCCATCAACTCAAGACTTTCACATTTCAGCTGATGGGTCCCCCCCTTAAAGCTGAGGACTTGCTAGGTATATCTAATTCAATATAATGTGTAAGATTGAAATGTATAAAAATTTGAAATAATAAATGTGTGGAATTAATAGGAATCGATAACTTTCCGATTATCAAATACACGTGGCAAGAACCTGCAACTTGAACTGTTGCTTCCCAACCGTCTATTTAATTCTGTATTGAAAATTGAAATATAAGTGGAATATGACGTCAGTGAATTATACGATTATTTTAAGAACGATCGACTTTGCAAGAAAATGGCAAGGGGCCTGTTCTATAGTTAAGAGCATTAACGATAAGGACAATCTTGCATCTTTGTTTCAAAATCAATAACTCTCAAGACAATTCCTTAATTATTCCCTGAAGCATAATTCAGGAGTTCAGTGGTAAAATGAGATAAATCAACTCAACTTCAAGAACCGTTTTCATCACTTGTGCGTAAAGTGAAATTTTACGCACGCTTCGCAAAATCCCACTTTCCACAGATTGCGCACGTTATATTCCTATACGCACTCGTACTTAGTTTTGGAAAATATCTCTGAACTACGCAAAAATGACGAAATTCTCATTCGGATCTTTTTTGCAGCTTTGATTTTGTTCTACAAAAAATATTAGTTTGAAATTTTTTAACTTTCCGATCTATAGGGAAGTTATTGTAATGATCCCGAAAATCGAAAGTGGAAATTTCACGATATCTCCACGGTTCATGACCCCTAGAATCTTGCTATGACGTTTCCAAAGACATGTCTGTCTGTGTGTGTGTGTGTATGGCTGTGAACAAATTTTGTGCTACGATTTCTCTCAAATAAACGATGAGAATCCAATTTGCTTGATGCCCATCGATGCGCCTCGATGGGACTTAGACCTGATTCAATTATGAACAAAATTGTCTCAGCGGTTCGTTAATTATTTAAATAAAACTTCAAAAAAAACTATTATCGAATTTTTGTGCTACGATTGCACTTGGATAAAAGATGAGAATCAAATTTTCTCTATGGCCATCGATGCGCCTCAATGAGGCTTGGACCTGATTAAATTTTGAGTTGAATCGTTTCGGCGGTTTGTTAGTTATATAACTGAAACTAAAAATAAAAATTTATCGAATTTTTTCTGCCAGTCGATTACCGCGCGAATAATGTTTTTTTCCGGAATCTGGATAAATTACCCCATTTAGAGTAAGAAAACAATGAGCGATGACCCAAATTTTCAATTGTCAATAACAAGTATTACCCTGGTAAAACTGAAGTCTGCGATTAGTGACGGGATCCACCGAACAAGTTTTGATACATGATGGGGGTGATGAAAGAGTCGGAAAAATGACGAACCCAACCCATTTTGCCTCGTATTTTAACGTAAATCGTAATTTTGCATGTTTTTACGTGAAAAATGCTCCTTGCACCACAGTTTTCATCCGATCCAGGTTTTCTTTTCTTTAGAATGTTCGTCTGACTTCAAAGAATTAGTCCTTACGCCCACGACAGTCCTGTAAAATTGTTAGGTCGCGTCGAGAATGTCAGTGGGTTTTACGTTTTTTGGGTCGCTGATCACGAATCTGTCGGTTACTTTCCCGAAAAATTGTCCCTTCAATTGTTATTAACAATTTTAATTGTTTAAAAGGCTTTATCTGGCAAACTATGATAGATATCGGAAAGATGTTCAAACAAAAGATGTTTGATATGTAAAAATACTCATTTTTTATTCTATACCTTTTCCCCCTAACTCTGATAGATACGGAGTTATCGGGGGGTGGCAGCGGAGTGGGCACCGCATGAGTACTCGCGCAGGGTGTTGGCGCGCTCCGATGCGTTTATCGGGACACTCGATGCAGATGGAGAAAAATAGTTGAAATGGAAAATATTTGCAATCAAATTTCCCATATAATTGATTTTTTGACATTTTTTCCTACAACCAGTAGTTGATGAGATATTGACGCCATCATGCTGCGTGATCGGGCAAATTACCTAGAACGCTTTTGTTTACTGTTGTTTTACGGGTAAACAATTGGAGATACAGGAAAAAATGTCGCATAATAGTTGATCCCCCATAAAAAATACACACTTTTGATCTTTTGGTCTTTGGCCTGATCTCCATTATTTACGGAGATAGAGCCCGTTGTAATACTGATAGTGGTTGCCCCCCACGACGGATGTGGAAAGGATGTGGAAAAAATGGAAAAAAACCCAATGGATGGGATTTGAATTAATTTTGTGTAATCGATGCGTCTCCACATAACTTGATTCTCGTTGCATTTTGAGCGAAATCGCCTCAGTGATTGTTGAGTTTTTTAAATAAAGCGTTCAAATTTTGCAATAAAAAAAAAGAGAAAGTTGGAAAATTTTAGAGTGGGTTAACTTTGAAGTTGGAAAATTTTGAAGTGGGTCAACTTTGAAGTTGCAAATTTTCAAGTGGATCAGCTTGGGAGTTGAGAGAATTTTGAAGTGGGTCAAGTAAAGTGGGTTTAACTGAAACTTGATTGAAGTTTGAGTTAACTTAAATTGCAAATGCGTTCTTTGCGAAATCACCCTAAGGGTAATGCCACAATGGATGCAACGCTAAACGCATGCAACGCATGAAATAATTATCCAACTGTTTTCTGAATATTTCTGACAATGACTAGCGTTGCGGATAGCGTGCACTGCATTCACTGTGGTATGGCCCCAGCGTTTATTAAATCTGCGAAGAAACTTTCCTTCTATAGGTATTTCCCTGGAGACATGTGAGAAAAAAATGGAATAAATACATAAAAAAAAGAAGTAATGAGAGAAAAAACAAATGGTCGGGAAGTTATTACTTCAACCCGTAATAGGTCACACCCAATTCCACCAACCCCTACCGGTCATTTTATTTCCCTTTGATTCGAATACCGTGAGGGCACCAGTTATCGCACGGTTAAGAAAAATTTGCAGGTTAATAATGGATTATTCGCGTTTCATGCATTAATTAATGAGTCTGATGGTTTCAATGTGAAGTCTGATGTTTTTTCGATGCAAAAATGATAGATTTTTATCGAAATTCCACTAAATTCAATAAATAGTGACGAAAACTGAACACCGTTCCCAGTCGGTAGTGATCGGACGCCCCAAACCGACCCACTGCAGTTCTCGGACACTAGGCATGTAGTTATCAGACGAAGTGAATTACAAGAGGTAGATCAAAAGAAATAGAGGAAATAACTCATAACAAACATCCGTACAATAGTTTTACTATTTTCCCAACAGTCATAAACCTTTAAAAATTAACACCAATCAATGATAAGGTACAAATATTTAATATACGTACGTAATATACATACGTACAATAGTTTTACTATTTTCCCAACAGTCATAAACCTTTAAAAATTAACATCAATCAATGATAAGGTACAAATACTTAATATAATGAAGGTTTATTCGTTATTGTTCTCTGGAAAGAATTTTTGCTGGGGGGCTGTTGGTATCTTTGTCCTCTCCGAGGCTATCATCCAATAATTCCTTTTTAATTTTTCTGGCCACATCGGGCTCCTCTCCTTTTATTTTACTTTCCACTGGTTTTTTCCTTTTTATGCCTCTCTTTTTAGCCACAATACTGGGACTCCTCTTCTTGGCTTTGGCCAATTCTTCCTTCTTCTGCTTTTCTGCCAACATCTTCTCCTTCTTGATTGAACGAGCCACTTTTTTTCGTACACTTCCCCCAAGACACACTCAGGACCTGGTTTAATAATTTCAGGTGCTGTTTTCCCCCTTTTCTTATCAAACAATGTTGACTTGGGAATATTGTATTCTTTGCTCACTGCTCCTAGTGTTCTCCCTGAATTCACGGCCTCCAGAGCTCTTCGTAAATCATCCTTGCTGTATTGTGATCTTGATTTTTTAGTTTTAGTCGTTTTTTCAGGCGTGGACCTAGAAGATAGAAAAAGTGGGTCAATTTCTCGATTCTACTATTTTGTTTTTTATTTTCATCATTGTTCTCATCATCAAATAATTAAAAGATTAACAAAAAAACCGTTTCAAAGAGAATACCGGCACTTGACAGAATGGATCTTTCGAGGTTAGAAGGCGAATAAATGACCGTGCGTTAACTGCGGTAGCCCACACTCGGGGCTTGCAGATTCCGGAAATGTGATTTCTTTCATAAAAAAAAATATTTTCTTCCTTTTTTTGATGTGTATGTATTCTAGATCTATCCCTCAACCTATACAAATTAATTCGAATCAATTTTCTACTCACATTTTGCTGGTATATCCTTGTGAAACCTCCAGGAAACTCAGCCTTCGCCTACTACATCACACTTGACGAACACATCAGTCACCAGACGGTCAGATAAAATATCTTCGTATTAATTACACACAATTATTTCAATATTCAAAAAAATTGTGACTTGTAGACCACTCATTCAACTCGACAAAGAGACAAGGCTAAATGGCCGTCGATGATTAGCTATATTTGATAAATGCCAAATTCCGTCGTTAGAGCGCTCGATTTCCGATAACAGGGGTTCGTGCGATAACTGGTGCCCTCACGGTATATTGTAGCTGAATTAGATGTTTCATTCATACCTGCTGCTCCCTCCCTTACGTGAGAACAGCATATTGTATTCACTGATCTTGTTTTTCCAAAATTTGATCACTCTTTCTAGTATATAAAAACCAAACCGTTCTGAAACCCCTTAAAAATTAATAAAAACATCTCGACTGATGTGAGGGTTTACCTACGAGACCCTTTCATCATTGATGCACTTTCTAGGTGCTTCGACAATATTTCAGAATATTCTAAAATTTTCTCGTATTTACTGTCTAGATGTCGACTTAAATTTAAAAAATTATACCGCTGTAAGGCGTGCCACTAAACACATTAGTATTTATAAAAAACTGTTCTTGAAGTACCATAGACCTTTCAAGCAAGCACGCACGAAAAAAATTCAAAGAACAATTCAGCGAATTCCATACAACATTACGTGGAATTTGTGTTGAACTTATATTGAAAATTCTATCAGATTTTAGCCAATTTTATTAAAGAATTCCGCAGCGTTACTGCTCGTTCCTTGTATAGAAAATGTCCAATAAAAAATATTTCATCGAAAAAATCGTTAGAACTTCATCTTTCTCTACATTTTTTCCAAATTTTTTTCCCTCTATTTTTCAATAAAAAATATCTCAATAGAATAAGTCGTATAGAAAAATTAAATCCTATTAATTGTTTCCATAGAATATTCTCCATTGAACGTTTCTATTGAAAAAAATCGCGCAGATAAGCTGTTGCTTCAATAGAATCGACCATGAACTAATAGAAACTAAAATAGAAATGTAATAGACTTCTTTAGGGAATTCGCCAAGTTTTTCTATGAAATTTATTCATATGTGCACCTTGGAAATCTGGGAAAATTCTGTAGAATCTTCAATTCTCCTTTAATTTCAACTTACTTAGGAGGTTCATCGTCATCATCCGGCAGGTACAATTTCTTCTTCAAAGTATCCTTGATGAGGGTCTGACCATTAAGCGACCAAACAGCACCAGTAATCGTCAAATGTTTCTCCTTGAGTGACGAACAAACAGCGACAGGGGCTGAACAGCCACCACCAAGTGTTTTCAAAAAAGACCTCTCACAGACACAATTAATTGTTGTATCCACGTCATAGAGTGGCTCCAAGAGAGACAGAATTTTCCAATCAGACTCGCGACATTCGATTCCAAGAGCCCCTTGTCCAACCGCATACAGAGCTTCATCAGGTTCCAACAGCTGACTTATCCTGTCGTCCCATCCCATTCGTTTCAATCCTGCAGCAGCCAGAATTATCGCTGCGAAAGGACCCTCCTCGTCATCTAACTTCTTTAATCTCGTGTTTAAATTACCTCGGATGCTCTCTATTTTCAAATGAGGCATGTTACGAGCCAATTGTGCTGATCTCCTCAACGAACTCGTACCGATTACACTTCCCTCTGGTAACGTTGCTAAAGTCTTCCCAGCCATCTTCTTGGACATGACTACAGCGTCTCTTGGATCCTCGCGTTTCAAAACCGCCCCCAGGGCCATTCCCTCCGGTAACGTTGTGGGCAGATCTTTTAGAGAGTGAACTAGGAAGTCAACTCTTCCACTTTCCAGCGCTAATTCCAATTCTTGAGTGAATAGAGCCTTTTCACCAATTTTCGGCAGTGATATGTCAAGTATTTTGTCGCCTTTTGTGCTCATTGTCACTAGAAGATAAATTCAGTCAATTAAACTGTTATCTAATGTCTGAGACGGGGGAAGAGAAACTATTTTTAGGTGAATATAGAGCTCTCCTTTTCTGACCATCACACTAGCATTGGCAATTATTGAACTTTCACATTCGAAATGAAAGGGGAGACTTTTGTTGCGGAAGTAAAAAAATGATTCTGGATGAGAAGTACGGGATCTCATTATGTTGTAGGTGATTGTTATGAATGGTGAAACAACAGAATTCAGTGGATTAGTCGCTACATTCGAGTCGAATTTTTCAATTTTTTTTCATTCTATTTTTCTTTTCTTCTCATCAAGAACATCAAACGAAAAAACTTAGAAAATTGGAGCCAAGGAAATTCTATTGAAAATATCTCAATAGAATACGTTATATAGGAAAATCGAATTCTTTTGACTTTTTCTAAAGAATATTTTCTGTTCAACATTTCAATAGAAACGGTCAAAAACTAATAGAAAATTCAAGAGAAATCCAATAGAATTGTCTAGCGAATTCGCTAGGTTTTTCTATTAATTTTTTTCATCCGTGGTATCACCAAACGCACTCTGATCAGTCGAAATCAAAATTGAAGAAAGTATCCTACGAATATTCCATGAACCTTCAAAATTTATCGGTTATTTCCCTCAAGTCTTGAGGTATTATAGGTGATCATTTTTTCCAATCGGATTTCGACCAATCAGAGCGCAGTCTTTGAGGTCTTTGAGCGCAGACTTCGTGTCCGTCAAACGACGTTTACGGACATTGTGAAGAAAAATTATGTTCGTCACTCGGCCGAATACGACTTTTCGGACTCGTGTGATTGCATTCCTCGGTTTGGCCTCGGCCTGCAACCCTTACACTCGTTAGAATGTCCTCTTAGCTTTTGAATATTTCGCAGTAGCTCTTCATTTTTTCAGCTCATTTCAGATCGAATCTTGTATTTGACCGTCTTTTGGCCGATTCTATTGAAATGGTTTTTGATATTCTTGATAAAAAAAAAAAAGAAAAATAGAACGAAAACAACTTAGAAAATTTAAGCCGAGGAAATCCCGTAGAAAATATTGAAAGATATTTTCTATCGAACATTTCATTAGATCGGCCAAAAACTAATAGAACACTCAATAGAATCCAATAGAATCGTCTAGCGAAGTCGCTGGGTTTCTATTAAATTTTTTCCTGCGTATAAAAATTCACTCTTTCTTCAATATTCTTAGGCTGAAAGCCCTCAGGCAATGGCCGCGTTGGCAACTTAATCCTTGCAACGAAAAACCGGTCAAATTTGAATTTTTCTTTAATGGAATTTATTCTCTTCCATTTTTATTAGCGAGTTCCAGTTTCCCACGACCGATACCAAATTGAGTATCAAATTTTTCATTAAAGAGTTTATGTGGCGTTCCACATCTTGTGCCAAGATAATTCTAGATATTAAGGTATAAGAGAAATTTACTAAAAAAATGGATAGTCCAGACTAGAAATCGAACCCGGGACCTGGTGCTCTTTCAGACTGAACTGTCCGGTTCCTAGCCGAAAATTCGAAGCCAATTAGAGTTTATAGAGAAAAAATTCCGCAACCCCCAGCCGGGATTCAAACCCGGATCTCCCAGTTATGCGCCGAGCACTCTTCCTAACTAACCTACCGGAAACTATGGAAATTCTTTCTCTTCAAATTCGACTCACAACGCCGCCTAAGCACCTTTAGGCATCAAATAAATTCATTCAAATTTCTCGTCCATATTAAGCGTCGCCGTCCTTCATACAGCAATCATTTTTTACTTAAGGGTGTTACGGCGGGGTCCATAGCTAGAAAAAAAAAGCAGAAAATTCAATAAAAATTGCTGAACAGATTATTCGATCCATTTGAATCGGTAATTTTAGTGCTTTTCCTATGTTATTGATCTATCGATAATGTAGGAAATTCACAAAAATTACCGCTGCCTCATTCAACTGCGTGTATAAGTAACAACTTCAAAAATTATTCCCATTATTATTGTTTAAGTAGGGGTCTTGACATTTTGCACGCGGCTTTCAAATGGATCCAATAATCTGTTCAGCAATTTTCATTGAGTTCTCTGCTTTTTTTTCCAGCTATGGACCCCGCCGTAATACCCTTAAAGTAGTATGGTCACTTTCCAAAGTGATCGTTGAGTGTCCGTCAAGAAAATCTAAAAAAATTGATCAAAAAACTATGATTTATAATTGATTATTTTCCCAACCCAAATATCGGGCAATATAATTGGCCCATTCGACATCACGTGGTACAAGCTACAGGGTTTTCAACTGATAATTTTTTGATAATTTTCTCTGGTAGTTGCTATATAAAAAACAAAACATCATGCAGTCGAATTAACCCCTTGTCAAACTGACAGATTGAATTGTGTTTATTTTTCCAATCTAAATGTCGGGCAATATAATTGGACCATGAGACGAAACTCACAATTGAGAAACGAAAATTGTATAATTAACACTCATTTCGAATAAAAATCCTCGGATTATCACAATTGAATTTAATCTGTCAGTTTGACGAGGGGTTAATTCGACTGCATGATGTTTTGTTTTTTATATAGCAACTACCAGAGAAAATTATCAAAAAATTATCAGTTGAAAATGTAGCTTGTACCACATGATATCGAATGGGCCAATTATATTGCCCGATATTTGGGTTGGAAAAATAATCACACAAAAAAAAACATATCCTTCAATACTCAATAATTATTGAGCAGACAAAGGGCCAGAGGACAAATGTTTAACGCAAACTTCAATCCTACGACTCGAATTCTCGTCAACGCCACGAAATAGAATTAAGGCCGTGACTATTCGCACCATTGCGTGAGTCACTCCCGTACACTCCACGCATGCGTGAAGTTTGTGTGTTTCACGCAGCCGAATTTTCATACTGCTGTATTTCACGCAGTTGAAGTTTCATACTACTGTGTGTTTCACGCAGTTGCATTTTTATACGCCTGTGTTTCACGCAGTTGTATTTTTATACACCTGTGTGTTTCACGCAGTTG